GAGGCGAGCAGGGAGCCGCCGACGGGAGGGAGCGGACGGGCCGGAGACCTCCCTGCCCGCGCGCAAGAGCGGAGCGAGCGCGGAGGGAGCGGTGACCGCAACCGTAACTCTTTCTCTTGTAGGCAATGGGTACATGGATGGGAAGGAGCTACAAAACTTCATCCAGGAGCTGCAGCAGGCGCGGAAGAAGGCAGGCTTGGTAGGTTAACGTTTCGCCCCGCTTTTCCATCTTCTCTGCGAAAGAAGAGTTTTTTTGGGCAAACTCCAGTGCCCCGGTTCCTTCTGTGCTCTGTTGCCATCACACGGTTCATTCAATCACCTCACCGGGGAAAGGAAACTATCTCGGTTAGAAATCAGCAGGTTGCAAATGAGATAAATCATCTTCTTTGGAAAGACGAGGCCGAGGTCCACCTGTGGAGAGCAGGTCCCGCTCACATCTTGACAGGCTACGAGCTGGTTGTTTCTAGAGTGCTTAAAAAGAAAAGTCAAAGAAATGCATGGATGCTATCTTTCCATCTTGGATGGGACCTTATCCCATGGCAATTAATCTCTGCCTCATTCAGATATGTACTGATGCTAAAAAGAAAACAAGTCAAAAAAAAAAAAATAAAAGAAACAAAGAAAAAGATAAAAAAGAAAAAACACTACTTCAGTTTAGTTCGACTCTGTTTTAACCTAATGGGCAGCATGGGCTGAAATGCAGTTCTGCCCCTTGGTGGTCAGTCAATAGATCTGCAGATCACTGCTAACCACTTTTTGCCCTTCACCAATGTTATACACCAGAAGTATGAGGATCGAACCCTGGTAGTTAAAATTGTTCAGACATACAGCACAGTTTTTGACAATATTGTCAAAAAAACAACTCTGTATGAGTTATTAAAGCACTAATTATTATTTTCCTCCAAACTGCACCCATGCTGGGAAAAAAAAAGAGAGAAAGAAAGAAATGAAAAAAAAAAAAAAAAAAAAAGAAATTAAAGATTCCATATACAGATTTGAATTAAAATGGAAATGAACATTTTTAACAAATAAATAATCGGTTTCTAAAACAGGCTGCTTAGCATCAAACTCCAGTATATAACTTAATGGAATCAATTTAAATTGATCTGTGCTAAAAGACTTCTGAGGAAAACAAAATTATAGTTTAACTGGATGGTATGTGTGCATGAGGGAAATAGATTAATACTTCATATAAGAATATCTCCAACTTAAGTAATAGCTTTTCCATAATTTACTCTGCTTTAAAAGTTGCTGTATATTTTAGAAGTATACACAAAAAATAATATTAATATGTTTCTATTTATTTTATGGAAAATTATATCTTATTAATTGTATGAGTATAAATTTCACACATCTAAAGATCTGTCTCCCAGCAATGCCTCTGATGTTACAGTATACTATGCACCAGATAATTCTTAGAGCTGTTGGTGTAGGCACTCATTTGCAGGAGTTTAAGCAAGTTTAAACTAAAATGAAACAAGCAAACAAACAAAAAACCTAAAAGCTAAAACCAAAAAATAATTTGGAAAGGAATGTAATTTTTAGAAGGGAAAAAGTTCGATTTGTTCTTTTTCACAGAGAATATTAGACAAAACTTCAATATCCTTCAAGTGTTGCAACAGACCAAATCTCTCTTCTACACTGAACTGCAGAAAACTTATGTCCATTAGAAAGAAGATATTAAAGCCTGTGTGTATTTAGGATGAATGGCATTCTTAGTAGAAATACTGATATATTATTCAGTCGTGAAATAATTAATTAGAAGCTCAAGAGGAAAAAAAATCATTTTAAGATGGGATTCTTTTCTTTCTCCAAGCAACTGTGCATGTCTTAAAAACACAGCCTGCTCAAAGTTACACAGAAATACCTTGCAGGATTATTCTTATTTGCTACAAATTTCATAACTTATGGTTTGTTTGGTCTTTTTTTTAAAACAAATTCTGCCTGTATCTCATGTTATATTTTAAAAATGCTCTGATGTTTATGTAAGTTTTCTTTTCCCATTTCTTTGATTTGAACCTATCTTTGCAGTGTTCTGCTGAAAAGAGCAATCTACAGTAGCAACAGCAAATTCAGTATCTGGTCTGTTGTCTCTGGAGCATAGATATAAGTCAGCACAGGCTTCAAATCTAAGCAGATTCTTGGATTTGAAGGCTCATTTGCCAAACAAGCATTTCATTAGTTCATGTCTTGTCTCACGGGATACTAATTCAGTAGCTTTGAATTTCTATTCTTTTGCCAGAAGGGACACATTGAGAAACTAGTGTAGGTTATATGTAATTTCCTCGGCTGTCCTTCTTTTAACACCCTAAAGCTTCTTTGTCATCATTAACTTCTGCATTTCAGGTCACTCTCCTGCTCACTATTTTTGAAATATTCAATTATTCATTCTTCATAGCTGGATTTTACATCAGTCATGCCATATGTATTAAAGAATCACGTTGATTCTGTCATTGAATAGGATAGCTTAATATTTCCCAATATTCTTCTCAACTACAGAACTGTTCTAATTATGTTCTAATTCTAATCCTTTTATTAATCCTCCCAGTAAGTCCATACTTTCACAGCTGCTTTTTCTCAGATGGAGCAGTAGCATGCAGTGTGACTCATGCTAGCCCTGAAAGGTGGATGTGTACATGGAGGTTTTAGGTCTTGCAATTTTCTTTGGTAACACTATGTCTTTTTGCTTCGTGCATTACGGTAGATAGTGAATTGATCTGATGTACTTTGAGACATATTGAAAGAACTGCCTCTTTTTGAAAGATAAAAGCCATATAAGTATGTAAGCATAGCTTCCATTTATTGTGCCCACATTTGTGCAATACGTTCTCTATTTTGGTCGGCCATTTGCCAGAAGAAACTGTGAGGTAGAAGTGACTAACACAGAGATCGATAAAGGGTGAATAGGTGGATCTTGGCACATTTTGTTTCTCACTTTCTCTGTGTATATAGATAATGACAGTATTTTTCCACAGGAGTAGGTGATTTAACAGATGTTTATAAATACAGTCAGCTATTTCTGTAGCGCCATCCATCCTTGCACTTTCAAATCATATTGAAAAAAATCTGTTTTGTTCTACAGCTCCACTTGATTGGATAAGTGTCTTTTTAAGTTTTAACAGGGGAGACTGAGTTGTGAAGGCGTAGTTTCTGAATTTCAAACACTGAGCACTGTATCTGTATCAAGTATAGGACGAGACTTGGTTAGGCTTAGGCAAGTTTTTTGACTGAGAACATTTATTTGAATAACATAACTTGAATAACTCATCAAGCAGCTCAAGACCAGGTAAAGAGAACACAAAAATAAAACATCTTTCAGAACAACATACTGGAGGATGAGCATTCCATTTTGTTTAACCTATAATCAGCTGTGCCTCCTCCAGTGGCTGGACACTGCAAAGCTGATATTAGAAAAATCAGTAAAATATTTAACCAGACTAATTAAAATCCAGGTGTCTAAATTCTCCATTCTATCTGATAAGCAAGCTTGTCCCCACTTTGGGATCATTAGATGAAAGGTGACATTGAAGTGCACTGTATTAATAAACCACATCTCTAATTAAAGCCATGGCAAATTACTAACCTTCCATGGATGACTTTGACAGAAACAGGATACTAGGCCATGACTGCATCAGCTACAAGGAACTGACATTTTAGTTAGCTCTGGTAGATGAAATTTGGGACAAACTACAATGGACTTTGTACAGCTGAGATTCCCTGTGTCTCTGGTGAGAGGATCACTTAGGTCCTATATAATAAAATCTGTTATAACCACTAAAACTTTAATTTCCAAAGATTGATTTATCTTCATGTACAACCATAGAATTGTCCATTGTTTTAACATAACTGTAGTGCTGATTTTTGCTGCATGGTTTTAGTATCTCATACCTAGAAGAAATACAAAAAGAGCTGAAAGTTTAATCAGTATTGAAGGTTCATGGCAGCTCAAAGCAAGACATGTCAAGCTAAAGTGTGAAATCAAATATTAAGATATTCACTCCAATGCTGGAACCTTTGCCAAAGCCTAGAGTGAGAATAGCCTTTAGAGAACAGATGTAGAGCATGGACCATAATTTATGCAAAAACAATTATGCTGGCTTTACTCTGTCAGATTTAAAGTGCTGCTTAAAGTTTTCTCCCTCCTAAATCTACCTCTCTGCATTTCAGCAGTGGCATTTTGACTCTGTTTCTATGATAACCAGATACTAAACAGTGAAAAACATGGTATCATGGTGAGTTCTAATTTTAGAGCTAAAATAGCATTCATTGTTCAGGAAAAATCCACTCAAAGATGTGGAAAGGCTGTTTTGGTGTTCAGATATATTATACTGAAATGTGTCTTCTTTTGAAAGGTTTTGCACTGCCTTCAATTTACTGGTTTAAAAATGAAAACTGAGAAAACAGACTAATAATTGCCTATGAACTTCACCACCATCCTCTTGAAGCAAAGGAGCTGTTATACCCATCTTCCAACACGTCTTTATATTTTTTTCATTCTGTAAACCAAAATAGGACTTTTAAGTATTTAAGCCAATCATTCACACTGACTATAATTCCTTATGAAGTAAAATTTATCACAATGACATTACTCATGATAAAAAAAATACTCAATTTCTTTTAAACTTGAGGGATCTAGCTGCAGTAAGTGTAAGTACTTCATTAAATGTAGTGCCTTATTTGGCAAATAATAGAGTATTCAAGTAAGTTTACGTATGTTTCTCTGTATCTTTAAGTAACCATTGTCTCACTGAAACTTTCTAGGATTTAACACCTGAAATGAAAGCTTTTGTGGACCAATATGGGAAGACTACTGATGGAAAAATAGGAATCGTTGAGGTAAGATGATTGCTTTGTAAAAAATGACAGACATTTTTACTTGTAGAAAATACCTCATCATAAAACAGTGTCAGCATAATATGTAAATATTTGGGGTTTTTAGTTACAAAGAAAATTTCTTCCTCTGTTTTAAAATCTTTATCATTTTTTTTACTAATGAAATATTTTCATTAACAAAAAGGTATTCCTTACCCCTCTCCAGACTTTTCACTACACTGCATTTAACTTTGCACACTTTTTATTAAGCACAAATAAGCATCAACAGCAATGTAATTTTCCTACAAAGCAGATAAGAGCTCTATTTTAGACATTTAAATTGTGAAAGGTAGTATGATTTATTTCTACCAGTAATTTTGAACTAATGATCTGTCACCACTCCTGCAGTGAAGACAAGACTCAGGTGAACCCAACTGGGCAATCAGTGTATGTGGCCTATTCTAAAAAAATACATATATGGTAAGAGCAAGTGAATTGTTAAATTGAAACAAAATTTTAGTAGTAGTTATGATCCAGCTTGTGAAAGATCAGGACTTCTTACAAATTCCTTTCTTGAACTTTAACAGAACTTCAGGTAGAAAATTCCCCTGTTCCTCACTCCCCATTTCTAACAAGGGCAAAGACAACCAACTCCTTCTACGCGTACAGCAGTTGTACAGCAGTTGTACAATTTAGACAACTTGCTAGGAAGGGGGGAACCATTGTGTTTTCTCTTGCTTTCACTCTTCAGTGCTTCAGGTCAAAAAAGAGCAGTTGCTGGGTTACAGCTTGAATAGTCACTTTTTCAAGCCTAAATCAATGACTCATTTATGTCACTGAGTGCAGTGAGACTTCAGTTTTATTATTAAATGCTATTACTTTTTTTTTTTTTTCTGATAATAAGAAATCTGACCTAGAGAGCTAATTAAGAAACATCTGGAAATAAGCCAGGTCTGCAAGATGTCTACAGTGACCATCTTCGAGTCTGTAGCTAATTTTAAAATAGAGGACTGAATAGGACCTGTAAAAGTCAATAGGAAGTATCACTGCTGATATCATAGATCATTTCAGGGTATCTTTTCTCCTCTGTCATGTGTCCGAACTGCACAGACTTATTTAAATGCATGTGTTTAAAATTATTTAAATACAGCTAAACTACCACGGAAATAAGAACACTTTGTTTCACTAGAAGCTATGATTGATTTTTAAAAATTCATATTTTGACAACACTTAGCATTGATCAAATAGTTTTGCATCTAAAAAAAACCTCAGTTTTTATTTGAACTAATGAATCATTTGGTTTTGGACTAACAAATGCTTATTCATTTGGAATTGAAGAATCTTATTTAATTTACTGTTTTTGAATATGTGTAATAGCAAGTATTGGATGCAAGAAGAATATATAGAGAGTGCCTGAAAAAGAACATTTCTTTGCTTTGGAAAGATAATGGAAAGTTTCACCTTTCAAATTCTGCTATCGACTGAGTGTGTAAAGGTGAGCAAATCCAATAGGGACTGATATGTTATGGTGCTCACCACCCTCAGTGAAATGGCAAGCATGCTCAGCATCCATGGAAACTGTTGAATAGTGAAGTACTCAGTTCAGTGACAGAAGGGACTTTCTCCCTTAATACAGTAGTTTCCTAAACAAATAGCTACATTTGATTTCACTTAAATCAGCATGAAGCTTGATTTGGAAAGTGCTGATGGGACTCAGACGCAATGTGTTGTAAATGCAGAGCAGCATGATATTAAAGTTGGTCTGGGGACTTGATTCTCCTTCCTTGTAAATAAAAACGTCCATTAATTCCAGATTGCTCCCATTCACATAGTACATCAGTTTTTGTGAGAAAGTATATGAATGTTGTTTAAAAACAAACATGTAAAGCCATTCATACTCTCAGCCATTATTGTGAACACCCCAGCATCTGATGGAAAAAGTCCTAGTGAATAATGAGATCTCAGGAAGGGCCTGCTGACTGGGATAAAGAGAAGGGCTGGATGGCTTCCCAGAGGAAAGAGTCTCCAGCTAAAGGCAGTTGTCTGCTTGCTTGTCATTGTGTAAAGGATCTTTAATTGACCTTTTGTACTCATTCAGACCAATGTTTTCACTAAAATGTGGATGTGAAACTCAAATTTTTGAAGTTCAAGATTCCACATTCAAATTATTGGAAGCTCATTGCTACCATAAAAATAACTAATTAGACCCAAATATTCTTTGTACTCCCATTCTCTATTACAGAATTTTAAGAAGACAGCCTGATCTAGTGGGAGGTGTCCCTGCTCATGGCAGAGGGGTTGGAACTGGGTGATCCTTGTGGTCCCTTCCAACCCTGACAGATTCTGATCTGTTTTAGCAGAGGACTTTCGAGCCCTAATGGCTCAATGGTTGGACTTGATGACCTTGGAGGTCCCTTCCAACCTAAAGGATTCTATGATTCTATGATTCTAAGAAGCAAATTCAGTGTATTAGGTAAAAGGAATTTTAAATACCATTAAAATTTAAAGAATTTATGTAGAGAATGATTTCTAGAAAATAGTTCTGAAATTCTATTCAATACTGAGTATTTTTTTTCTACTAGGTAATCTATAAAGACATACCTCAGCCTGCAGCTGAGCAGAGAGGAGTCAAGGCAGACTCAGGTTTTGTGGTTGTCCTCTCTTACTCATGGTGCAGAAATAGCCAATGTTCTCCATAAAAAACCAGCAGATCTCACAGAAGCTCTCACTGAGCTGCTATTGCTGCCATACACAAACTCATAGCAGTCTCTTACTCAGACACACTCATGGAGTCCCCCTGTGCTTATCCTTACAAAGAAGTCACCATTAGAGACAGCACCAGGTTTCCATCTTTCCTCTCTGTAGTGATATAACCATGACTGGGAACTTTAACCAGTTTCCACATGAATCCCTCACCCCTTAATAATGCAGAGTTTTCTGGGAAAACTAATTTAATGCTATTTGATGCATGAGCTTGGAGAACTGGACTTCCCTTTAGCTACATTGTTTCTATTTTGCTAAAGGGTACAAAAGAAAGCAAACATGAAAGACATTTTTTTTTCTGGCAGAAGCCGGAGCTAACATTGCATATTGAGCTACTACATCTTTGTAACATAAAAGCCTGTGCTTTCCCCTGAGACTTACAAAGGGTGAGAGGTATGGCTTAAAATTAGGTAATTTTCTTCCAGAAGTAATATATTCAGTACCTCAAATACAGTTTAGTACTGCTAGTAAGCTGTTAATGATTCTTTGGAAAGCTACTGTTCTACATTTACCTTTGCACCTTGTACTGTTTTACAGCGCCTTTGCAAAATTCGCCAGTTAGCTAGTGAGATCCTACAAGAGACATCTCATTTTTAAATTCCACAGATGTAAACCCTTTCCCATTGTCCTAATCTGTCCCTTCCCCCATACTCTTTGTTATTATAATCAATTCTTCCATTCAACGTTTGTTGTTGAGTAAGAATGTCAATTTACTCTAAAAATCAGACTTCCCCTGTCATGGGAGAAATAAAGGAATTTTTCCCTAAGTCAAGACTATGTTATGCACCTTTACCTACATGTGTATATGCTAATGCAGTAGGTTTCAAAAGCTGCTGACAAAAATACATTGTTTAAGTTGATTTGGTTCAGCATTCAGCCATTTAGCAAAAGCACTCAGAATGCTGATGGGTTGGACAGCCCATCATCAGCTGTGCCATTTCTGTGAGAAGAGTGCTCTGACGTGTCTCTTCAGTTGTACTAGCACCTAAAGAATATAACTGACTCCTTGAACAGAAAATTTTAGAGAAACAAGACATCTATCTCCATACCCTCATTGTGTCTCTAGGGTAAGAAGGAGACCTCAACTCACCTACAGTGCCACAGGAACCCAACAAGAAAGCCTAAGCAATTAAGCAATAGCACTGAAATAGACAGGACAAGGGATCTGAGGATGTGAAATGAACATAGAAAAAAGAAAATTTGAATCAAAATTTTAAGATGGGGCTCCATGAAGTCTGCAGATGTCATTTTTCATAAAAGAATGCAGCTAAGAAATCTGTCTCTCTCCATTTTCTCTTGCTAGTAAGCACAGCTGGTCTATTCTTCAAGTAAAAAGTTTTCTTTAATCAAAACATATTTCATACATTGTGAGGGCAGAAAAAATATTGGGCTTTTGTTAAAAACAAATCATTTTACATTAAATTATACAGCATACTCTCCTTCTTCTACATTCGTCACTTGCCAAAATTGAGTTATAGTAAATGAACAGTTTCAATAATCAGTACAATAAAGTCTGATTTTTAAAAAGCCTTTTGTAGAGCAGAGGCATTGGAAGAACTGCCCCTGGTTTTGCAGGGCTAAAAGCCCTTTTTATTTATTTCTGGTATTTATAGCTCTTGAACACATCTCTGTGACTGATAAGTGATCACCAGTTGCCATTCCCTTTCCATTCCCACTTTCTTTTTCTCTCCTGGCTTTTCCATATTTTTTTTTCTGTTTATCATACATATGCTCTCCGTGTCTTTCCTTCCTTGGTATCTGCCAGTAGTCTGTTTTCTTCACTTAATCTTCTTAATTCTTCTTCTAAATTTGAAGTCCTTCACACTTACCCTCTAAATACCCTTGTGTTATGCTTTCCCTTCATGACGATTCCAAGGTTTTCACCACAGGTCCTAACTCTGCATGAATGAAATTTTTCCCTCCTTTCCCCAGCTGCCCCTTCGGTAAAGTGCCATCTCAGTCCTTTCTCTCAGACTTCAGTTCTGTTTGACCTTGATGAATACGGCAAAGCTGCAAGCCACCAGTCTTTCACAGGCATCTTCCAAACATTTCAGCTAACATAACAAAGCATTCTGTGGGGCCACAATAAGGCAGTATGAGCACAAAGAATTTCATACTCTTTTTAAAAAAGTTTCATGCTCTTTTACAGGCTCAGCTGGCCTAATAAGGAATCAAAATTTAATCTTTCTTAAATTCTGTTACAGCTCGCTCAGATATTACCAACGGAAGAGAATTTCCTGTTGTTCTTCAGATGCCAGCAGCTAAAGTCAAGTGAAGACTTCATGCAGGTACAGTATGAAAAGTTAGCTTTTGTGAAATCATTCAAGACCTACTTGCTATAAATATACCAGTAACGCATTTGTGTTCTGATTGCAGACATGGAGAAAATATGACAGTGACCACAGTGGCTTCATTGATTCTGAGGAACTTAAGGTAACCCAGTATCTATGAGTATGCACAAAAGGAGAGCAGGCATTGGATTACAGCCCGTGCTGTTTCTTCAGATACTTACCTGTGCATGTTTTTTCCATTTCAAATGTAACTGAAAAAATAGTACGGTTAGCTGATATTTTTAGCACCAGTAAATTATTTAAAATGAAAGTCTAATCTGATCAATATTCTTCAAAACGTTTTAGTTCAGATCAATGTTTGTCTCAAGTGACCTAAGGTAACAGGTGCTTCAGTTTAGGAATAAGAAAGATTAAGAAAGCAAGACAGGCCTCTGAAAACTATGTTTGTTTGGGGGAGGGGTTGGTATATTAGGGAGGAGGTCTGTTTAATTTTTTGATTGTTGTTTTTTTTTCGCTAAGGGCATCACTCCCATTAACCTCTTTGCTGCTGGACAGAACATGCTTTCTCAAGTATCATGCAATCCTAGTTCCCACTGTAATACTGTTAGGCTGACACAAATGGAATTGTGTTGCCCTTGATTGGTTAACTTGGTGGGATTTTGGTATCAGCTTTAATATGCACAAATAAGAGCACAATCAAGATTATTCCATTAGCCATCTCAGCCTTGCAGAGTCAACAAACTTTGAAAGTAGAGAGATATATGTCCCTAGTCATAAAATGAATAGCAATTTGTAGATGCTGAAGCACAGAGTCACAGAATCACACAATGGTTGGAAGGGAGCTCTGGAGGTCATCTGATCCCTGCTGAAGCAGGGCCACCTAGATCCAGCTGCCCAGGGCCATGTACAGATGGCTTTTGAATATCTCCAAGGATGGAGACTCTACAACCTCACTGGGCAACCTGTGTCAGTGCTCAGACACCGTCACAGTGAAAATGTGTTTCTTGATGTTCAGAGGAAATCTCTTGTGTTTCAGTTTGTGCTCATTATCTCTGGTCATGTTAGCGACCACCAGTCTGAATCTATCGTCTTTGAGCCCTCCCTTGCAGTATTTATGTACATTGATGAGGCCCCCCTGAGCACCCTCTTCTCCAGGCTGAACAGTCCCAGCTCTCAGCCTTTCCTTATAGCAGAGATGCTCATGTACACCAGCCTCTGAGTAGAAAGTTGCCGTTTTCCACACTTCAGTGGCACTCAATACATTATTATAGCTTTAAATTTAGAGGAACCATAACAATTAATAGTGAGAGAAAGACCTAGCAGTGTTTACCCATCTCATTTGGACTATTTTGCCCATATGTGTCATTCTAAAGAACTGCATAAGCTTTATTAAACCATTAATAGGCCATTTTAACATGTTGAAAATATGACATAAATATCTAGTTTTATTTTGAGATCAATATTTCTTGACAAGCCCAAACGTTGTTAAGTATTTGCTGTGTGTGGAGTACACCCACTTAAAAATTTGTAAGAGGAATTCAAGCTGTAAATCAGGAAAACTTTCTCATAGTCATGCAGTGCAATACATTGTCTAAGGGGGAGGCAGACTTTCCACCACTGCCTGTATTTAAGAAAGTTTTGGAAATAACTAAAATCAGACAGTAACTTGGGTAGTTCAGATACTGTTAATCCTTTCTTGAAACATGGAGACTGGCTGGATAGACTTTCAATGTCCTTTCCAGTTCTATTTTCTATCAAAGCACACAGGATTAAACAGGACTCTATAATGTCCATTTAAAACATTTCAGTCATGTTCTTTGTATACAAGCTACCAGGAAGGCCCTCCAGCATGGAGGGGGCCAGACTAGAATAACTGTAGTGGGTATTAGTCATACAACTATTGACACGGTTGCATTCAACTTCAAGAATGTCATCTATGTACAAATAGATTTTCTTACAAGCTACCCCATTTTCTGTCTTGAAATGAGGCCCAAAATTCCATGAAGATAACAGCACTTGAACTCATGACAGTACTGTGGTACTTTATTGAGAACTGACAGACATAACAACATCACAAGTCTTCTGATGCCCTTGTTAAAAAAATTAATAACTTTCTTTTTCAATGTCACAGACACAGTACAGAAATTTAAAACACTGAATGGGTGGAAACAATCTTATTTTTTAAAGTAAAAATGGTTGGCATTTCAAGTCATGTGATAATATATCAAATTCTCATACAAAGAAATGCAACAAAACTGTGTACACGCATTTAAAATACAAAGTAAGAAGGAGCGACAAAGGTTAACCTTCACTTCTAGTATAAGGTGCTGTCATAGGCAAGGAGAAAACGTGATTAATCATTGATCTTTTCTGCAAGAAGTGATTAGGCATCCAAGTTTTCAAGGAAACTCAAGGTTAATTAGTTTAGTTTACTGATAGAGCTGATTAGGAAGCACTATACTTGAAAACCAAAATATTTTTTCCAAATTCACAATGCAAAAAATGGCATACAATGCAGAAAGCTTTATGAGTCACTTTTTCCACAAAATAATGTTCAATAGACTTGAATTGATCAAAAGAAACTGTTATATACTTAGCTAATTACCATTTCTTTTCATACTTATTTGGAAGTTGAGCATTAAATATTAAGGTGTGAATAAAATACTATTTCCTATTACTTTAATCTGAAGTTAGCCAGCAATTTTATAGTGTAGATAATAATTCACTTATTACTCTTATATTTATTTTAACAGAGCTTCTTGAAAGATTTATTACAGAAAGCAAATAAGCAGATTGAAGACTCAAAGCTAACAGAATACACAGAAATAATGGTAAGATTATTTACAGGCATATTTGATCAAGACTGGAGTAATCCAAACACTGTTTCTTTAGCATTTGGAAGGCTCCAAATGACTTGGAGCCCCACCAGCTCCTAATCAGGCTAACTGTGTCATTACAACAGAGAAACGACTTTGGCTTCTAGCACTGCAAGTACTTCTGGAGTCACAAAGCTTTGATGGGCAGTTTTCAGTGCTGCCCAAAAAAAAAAAAAAAAAAGCACAGGAATTCTGAATCTTCTTGGTATTTATATATTATTAGACCATACCATAGTATTTTCCTCTGTTCTGCTTCCCTGTACTATTAGTTGTAAACCTGAAGTCTCCACAGTTCACAGGAGGAAAATTGAACCTGTCATAAAGATATAAATCAAATTAATTAGGTGATTAGGTGTTACTTTCTATGTTTTGCCTTCTTATAGTGCTGTAGCATCTGTCTCTTGTCTTAAAAGCCATCACTGCATGATGGCTTCTTATCAGATTTACAAACATCTCACTCTTCTCCCACTTTCAAGGAGAAAGATGTTTGAGATACACACTAGAAGAACACTGTCACTTCTCTGGCCTTAAATCAGCCTTGGGGCACTCCTTCCATCCCACTGCTATACTGCTCCAGGGTAAGGACCAGTATAGGGTTCTGAGTGTATGTGTCAAAGAAAAAGAGTCTCAGAGTTCTTGGCTTCAGGAAGTGTGTAACACTATCTTTTGGTTTATGTGCTTGGTTTCATCCTAAAATAATTTTAGCAAACAAAAATGTGCTAGTCAAACACACTAGCCCTCAAACTGGCCTGAGAATGACTAATCAAAACTTGCATTTATCCTAGACAATGTCGGCTGGTTTGCTGTATTCATATATAAATATATGTGTGTGTATATATATATATATATATATCTCAATTTACCTAGAATTATCACTGTTCATTCACCGGTGAAGATGTTTATGGAGTTTTTTTTTACCTTCAACTTAAAGTATGTTCTGAGTTCTGGTCTCTGCAGAGAGACACAATGACAAAAAATTAACAGCAATAATGAAAAAAAAAAAAAAAAGAGCCCAGCTCTCTCATGTTTTCCTCAGGAACTAGAAAAGAAGAGTGGTAGGAAACATACGGTCCTGAGCAGCTGCAGGCAGGCACAGCCAGCCACTAAGAACCCATCAAAACACAAAATATGTTGACTTCACAGCTGCCACTGCTTACTTCCCCCAGAAGCTCATTTCCTTTCATGGGAAATGCATGCGAGGCAGATGCTTTTATACAAGGAAAGGAAGTGTTAAAAGGAACCATGGTGTTACATAGAAATAAATGTTTATAGAATTGGTCTTTTTCTGGTCTACTTTGCCATTTAATGTGTATTAACCAAGTGAAATGAGGTCTTTTTTCATGGCATTGATTCTGTCTTTAAAAGGATATACACTTAGTACAGGATGTTGCTTTTCCTCTTATCTAAAAATTATATCTAAAATTACTGTGATTAAAAGTGATGGGATGGAGTGTGGGTGGTGGTGTTTTCAGTTTCAGTCTAACAATGTTTTTTACAGTTTTCTACCTTTGTGGCTTTTATACAGCAAAGGCAAAACAATACTTGAAAGTAGATAAATGGAATTATACATACATAAAAACTGGGAGACAAAGTCCCATAAAGGTGCAGTACCTGCATCTGCTTTTGATAATGAATATAAGCTCTTTGTGCCTCTAAGCAGCAGCAGCTCATCCTTTCAAGGCTTCTGAGGAAAACACTTTATTACAATAGGGTAATTAAAAATTATTAGAAATAGTATTCACTTATTTTGTCAAATTACATTAATATACTTATTCCTATAATTATAATTATTTGGAGAGATTTAATTTGCCATTTTCATACCATCAACAAGATGTGCTGTAGATGACAGCATCTGTTCACTCCTTTCTTGAAATATATCACAAAACCAAAATGTGATCTTTACTTAAATATTTATACCTAGCAGCCATTTGAATGAGATGTCTACTATTTTCTCAGGACTTGAATGTCTTGGATTCTATTGAACTTTACCCAACTGTTGTTTTACCTTTATGAATCAAGAATAATGATGGTATTATCAGATCATGACATGAAGTCAAAATTAAAATGTTATGATGTCAACACTCCTCTCATTCATAAATAATTACATGCACATTTCTCATCGGTTAAGACCTACTTGACAGTGGGTTAATCAGAATTGTTCATCTGGTTCCTTATCAGGCTTTTCCAGTAGAATTAATTACTATATTCTTTGGTACTGTAAATAAATGTATTACACAGCAAATGTGACAGATTAAAACCTGGGGCCACCATTGCAGAATGAAATAAAGGGTAAATTTCACTGAATTTAAGTATTCCGTAGAAGTGTTTTCTTCATTATGTTGATTAATTTTGATTGATGCAAAACTATACATTCTTTCAGCTCAGGATGTTTGATGCAAACAATGATGGAAAGTTGGAGCTTACTGAATTGGCCAGGTACGTCTTCTGTTTCTTTTCATAACAAATATAATGTACCAATTGCTGTTATGGAAACAATTAAATATTTTGACCTTTGTTTTTTCTCTCTAAAGACTACTCCCTGTACAGGAAAATTTTCTAATTAAATTTCAGGTATGAATATTCACATTCTTAAGGTAACTTGTTACCATCACACATAACTGGTGTCATTAATGGATTTTTTTTTCCCTTTTGGGATTTAGGGTGTCAAAATGTGTGCAAAGGAATTCAATAAAGCTTTTGAGATGTATGATCAAGTAAGTCTTCAAAAAACTTTTTATTAATTTAATATTTTGATGTCACTTATTTTCTGAATTTGTGGAAAACTAGCCACAAACTCTGAAACGAAAAATAAATGTTTAAATAAAGATTTAAAATTATCTTTAATGTTATTTTTCAGGATGGTAATGGCTACATTGATGAAAATGAACTTGATGCGCTACTGAAGGATCTCTGTGAAAAGAACAAAAAGGTAACCTTAGAGGGCTCTTGTCCCATTAGAGATTAGCTTTAGTTTGGATTTTAAGGACACTTTAATCCACCCAATTAAGATAAATACAGAACTTCTAAGTCATAATTCCTGAAGTCAAAGTATGACTAAAAATCTTGGTAGAAGTCATAGCAGTGTAAATCCTGAAGCAGTGGAGTTGTGATTATATAACAACGTTGTCAAAAGCTGCTTCTGAAACATCAGCAACCAGCAATTTAGCATATGGCAATAACACAGGCAGCATTCAAATACAGAACATTGGCAATGTGTTGCTGCTGGACAGGCTGAGAACACCCTTTTTTCCCTCATCTTCTGCCACTGGAAGCAAACTTGCTCATGCTGGTAACTAAACAGGATTATAAAGCATTTTCTATTCTTTAAACAGGAATTAGACATTAACAACCTTGCGACATACAAGAAAAGCATCATGGCCTTGTCTGATGGAGGAAAGCTTTACCGGGCAGAACTGGCTCTTATTCTCTGTGCTGAGGAAAACTAGAACTCTTCTATCATGTCCACTTAACTAGTGATGTACTCTATCTACACAATAACTGTGCACTATAAGGGAGTAGACTGTATTTTTAAATTGCATATAGAAAATTAGCCAGGATGTGTGGCACATTCCTTTCAGTTTGTTTCTATACTGTTTGTAATGTACAGTTTTTGTAACAATAAGATTGATAAAGAGGATGTCTGTGTTTGGGCCAGTCTGTATATTCAAAAAGAAACTAAAATATATTTGGGTTGGTTTTGGTTGTTTGTTTTTTTTTTTTTTCTTTCTTTCATAAACATGGCTGAAAAAAAAATTAAACCTGCTGACATTGCTGTGGTCATCATATCCTTTGACACTTGCAACATTTCTTGTTGAACTATATAACAAAAAGGTCTACAGGTAACTTTCCCCATTACAACTAAATCTTTTTCTTAAATGCAAAACATTAATTCGTATTAAATATGATCTAGGTCTGAAACAGGAAAGAGTCATTGGCATGTCTTATTTCCAAAATTTAACAAGGCAATATGAAATAATTTCAGTTGTCAAACCACCCATTTACAGCTCTGTGCTCTCTGCAGTTTTTCAATTGCTCTTCTCTTTATGAATTCATAGCATATAAACAAAGCATTTATCTGGGATAGATCTCCACGCAGTAGTTGACAAAAATGTAGTGTTTTCAATCTAGCTGTTTAACTTTACTGAATTTAAACATGGGCACTTCAGAAATAAATGCCTTTAATCTGTCTTGGAATCCTGGCTAAATGACAGGTAGTATAGTTAATACACGGATTAACATACGATAAATGTACCTTTCATGACTATTCCTGTGTCAGAGAATATGACAATCCATTTTCTAAACTATTTTCACATTTTGCAGGTTATAATTATTCTAGTAAATTGCTGTTTTTACATCATATTCTGTGTAATCTATAATTAAATTTAATATCCTAAGATTGTTGGTGTCTAGTTTGTCTATCTCCTGGATTCTTTTTTCTGTACCATGTAAAGGACAAAACAACTATTTAAAAAAAAAAATGTGCTTCCTTGGATCTTACAGTGAATTGCTATCTGTAACAGTAGTATTAAAATTTAACACTAAATGAAGAAAAATATCTAATACAGATTTTATACCAATTTATCAATTCAGTTTACATGGTGGGTTCTGCTTTTTATTATGCTAGAGAGGCATTTTTAAAATGGCAACTGTACTGTGGAAACAGCCCTGTCTTCATGAATCTTTATTTTTTTGGCCTGGCTCCTTTTTTACTTTTACACCAGTTTTATGCGAGACAAGTCCATGAATGTCCAGACCATTTGTAGGTACTGATGTAAGAAGGAAATTAGGCTGTGTCTTAAAGCAAATAAACCCGTGTTGCCTCCATGTACAACTGCTTACGATGCAATTCCAGGTTAGCAGAATAGCTATATGCAGCTTCTGAGATGCATCTCTGTGTCTTATTTAACAAGCAGAAGCAAATGCATTTTATTTGAAACATATCTCAAACAGTGAGGCTCAGATCCTTACAGTCACTGACCTCCCACCAAAATGAATCCTTGAATTCCTCAAGTGAACTCAGGCAACTAAACACCATTCCAGGAATAGCCTAATGACCTTGGGCTCACTCCAGTCTGAGCCTTGGAAAGTTAAGGAATAAGTGATGCTGGATGGGGTCTTGCTGACAAAAAAAACCCAACAAAACAAACAAACAAACAAACAAACAAAAGATTAAGCCAGCTCAATCTGACCACTTTACTCCCACTCCATGCACAGTGGTTTAACTTCTCACCTGCATGTTCTCCTCTTTTTGCAATGTGAAATACAATTGCCTATGTTAAGAAGGAACAGTGAATCTGCCTATCAGTACAATAAATGATTGATATTGTTCATATTGTGCACTTGGAACCCTGGATTTTGCCTTATTTTAACATTTTAAAAGTGTAAAGGTAAAGAAAAAAAGCCCAAAATTTCTATGTAAAAATATGTTGAGACTGTTTGCTAAAATCATTACAGTGGAAGATGAAGCGCTTAAAAGTCTTTTGACAAAATGTCATCACAGAAACTGGAATCTGTCTTCCTGAATGTGATTACAGTTACCTGTCACAGATCTGTGTCTAAAGGTACCCTCCTGCTGCTGCTGCTGCTGCCTCAGCCACCGGGTACAACACAGAAAGCAGGTCTTAGTCCCTCACAGACAGAATGGTTCCTGCAGTAGTTTCTCATAGATATAACTTGGTTTAGAAGACAGCAACTAAAAAAAAAGCAGTTCTAGCAAAGGTGTCTACTATGTCAGTGCAAAGCAAAATGTAGCAAACCTGGCTGAGTCAAAACTGCTGTAAAAGCTCCAGGTTTTAAAATCTCCAAAACTCTCCTGGGCAGGACTCTTACAATGTCAGCGTTGGGGCACAATGAGGCTTGGAATAATGAGAGGGGACGACAGGGAAGACTGCAGGCTTCTTTCTTCTGGTAGACATCTGGCAACCAAAAAAAGATTGAAAGTAGCATGCACAAAAATGAATTATATGGGGTAGAGCAGGCATGTCATATCCCTGCTAAACAGAGAAACTGACTGACACGTAGTTACCCAAGATCTACTTCACTGAAGCTATTAATCATTTTACTATCTAAAAATATAATTTATTAAATATTCTAATAAACACTCAAGCTGATAAATACTTGAAAACTCTGTCCTAGAAATTACAAACAACTATGCAGTAAAAGGTTCTAGCCCATTCTAGTTGAAATCAGTACAGATTAAAAGTTAACACAGTGTTTGGTATTCACATCAAAGGTGATTTTCTATTAATTTTAAAGCACAAAATAGCAAACTTTTATGACTGCAGAAAAAAAAAAAAAAAAAAAAAAAAAAAAAAAAAAACAAAAAAACAAAAAAAAAAAAAAAAAACCCGACCCAGTAAAACCCTTTAAAAGCCTTTGGCATTATAAATGGATTGTTTGCTGATAGGTAAACCTGAACAGTAGTAGGTCAGGCAGTTAGTGCCTGCTCTCAGCTGTGTGCACAACACAGTGCACCTCAGGGGTCTCACCTGATTCAAGTCACTAACACCCCCCAGCTAGCAGCTGTGACACAAACCACTGCCCACTCTGGGGAACACCATAATCGTTCTCACCGATGGTTTCGCCAGGATCGAACATGGGCCTTGAAGAAAGTGATCCGGCTTTTGTTCACTGCCGCACTGTTCTGTCCCAAATAGTTGATGCCCGGTATCACAGCACTGGTCTAATCCACCCTGGTTACAACTGAGTTATGTGCCTGTGAAAAGTTTACCCACACAAGCTCACAAAATTCCTAACCAACATATTCCACATGCAGATGTCAAATACAGATCAGGATGCCAAGACCTGACACAGCTTTTACATAAAATGAACCTTGTCTCACAAAATATGCACATGCTGCTGCTAAACTCCACTTCAGGTAGGATCAAGTCTTTGTCTCGTTAGACGTTAGGCTTTTCTGAGTAACTTCCACTTGACAGCTTGTGCATTTATACTAAGCCCGCATCACAATCATGCTCATTATCACTGGTGGTGGAGGCATACCGAAATCCATGCTTACTCACAGTGTCTATGAGGAGGCTCAGAATCCATATTTTGGAACCCAAAATATATGTGGCCTGATTTTCTGAAGTGCTGAGCGCCTCTGAATCCCTCTGAAATCAACTGAAATTGTTCTATACCAGTTAAAAGCAGGCTAATGCATTAAAATCTCACAGATCATTATATTTTACTGCATATTAAATTATCGGGGCTTTTACCTTGGTTAAAGTGGGATTACATATTTAGCAGCTACAACAGAAGATCCTCCATGGAGTCAGACAAAGGTACAAATTTCCTTACAATTCAGTGTCTTTCCAAAAACATGTTATCTGCATGTGAAAAAAAGTAAAGATCAATGAGCAGTTCATGTGCCAATGAACTCGGAAGCCAGTACGGTTGGACTGGTAAGAACCCATGGCTCCCTCAAATAGTGTAATTTTCTGCTTGTAAAGCAGATTCTTGAATTGGTAAATAATAGCAATATTCTCAGCAGTAACTGAAATATTCAAAAGGAGGGAATTACCAGAAACAGGAGAACCAAAGACTGGCAGGAGTTCTGGTACCACATCAAAGAGGTAATACAAGTAAGGTCTTTCATTTGCAACCCCAAATGATTTTTGTAACTTGTTTATAAGCCTCTACTACTACAATACCACTTTTACAGCAGAGATTTAATCTATGAAATTGTAACAGGTTCAAAGACAGTAAATCATCATCTGCAATAAAAAGTAATTCCAAGATTTAATCAAGCAGACAAGATAGTTTTCAGTTTAAAACAGGCAACGGATCCTCCTTTGTGAGTGTCTTTGAGTTCACAGAAGTGAGAACACCTTTAGCTAGTCACGCAAAAGTCATTTAAAAAAAAAAGGCATCTGTATTCCAGGAAAGTTTTCCTTGTGATCCATGAAAATTAAATGGCCTCTGCAACCCTACTTTCACAACCTCCACAATCTCCATCACACTCTCTGACTCATTCCTCCACTTTCTTGTCCTTCCAACTTCATCTCTATAAACTTACTATGCTGCAAAGCAATACTTTTTTCATATTCACCTTTACCTCGTGGCTCAGTGGGAATCTGAGGTATCACGAAAGTAAAAATCTCAGGACAAATATGTCAGCATAAGACAGTGTGCTTAATGTGGATACGACCTCCTCCCAGTTTTGGTGTGGGTGGAATGAAGTGGCTGTGGCAGCTGCACTTTATGTCGGCCTGTGCGGTGTGCAGCACACAGTTGTGGAGCATCCTTAGGGCTGGGCACCTCTTGGGACTCAGGGAGGTTTTATGCCTCTTGCAGAACAGTCTCATCCTCATAGGCACTTAGGAACATGTTCTTTAGGACTTCCCAAGACACACCATACATTGCATGGGTTAGGTAGTTGCTCTAAAGCTTACTGACTGTTGTCCTCTTCCTGAGTTCAGGTGTCACGTGTTGCTACTTCAGTAACAAATAATTACATTTAGGTGAAACATAAACTTGAGATGTTTGAGATTCATCTCTTCACAGTAACATTCATCTCTCGCCTCTACCAAGTCTAACAACTCTTTTAGTGAAGAAAACTAATCCATGCCAGACTCCACCCCATTCTGCTGCAGAAGTGGACGGCTAGATCAGAGTTTTTTTTCACTTAACTAAGTCTATATATCAGGAAATATTTTATAAACTATCCAGTAGCATGTAACAATTTCAAACATTATATGCCATGTCTAAAAGCAGCATTCAACATATTGTATACATCTTGTCAAGACAGAATGTTCAGAATCTAAAAGCAACAAACCTGCATAGCTGGAAATGAATGCAGTGGTACAGGTAAGATAACATAGGTTCTACTCCTATTATAGGTGCTCATTAAAATTTAAAATGGGATACCTGCTTCTATCACTGAACAACATATGCTTTAAAAATGTTTTGTTGTCACTTTACTATTAATAATTCATTTAGCTATGGGCAGTAAACAGGCAGAAGATACTTTGGAAACAATATCAGTTTCTGCAAGTGATACTGTTCTGTTGGTAATAAATACCCAGCATCTATTTACAAGACTGGCATTCAGAGGCCTCCCTTCAATATTCTGACCTTAGCAAATAAAGCAAAAAAAACACCTCTAATTTAAAGGACATGTTCCAGTAACTCTGATGGTTCAGAAAAGAGCTTCAGCCCCTGGAAAGTTCACTGTGACTTAAAGTTTCTCCTAGATGCAAAGTTGGCCTGAATACCTCCAATGAATAAAGCCATGAAGGACAAAGATCTTCTCATTTTTTAATTTTAGCTCCAGGAACAATGTTCTGCTGTTCTATTTTAAACTGCAAAACCACTTGAAATTCTTTACGTACATTTGCATAGGAACCCACTGCCTTTTGCTGTGGAAAGGAAACGCCTCAAACTGAGCTCAGAAAAGTTTCCTTTCTAGACAAAATACACAAGCAAGGCAGTATTATAGAATCACTGTGGTTGGAAAGGACTTCCATGGTCATGAAGTCCAACCTTCATCCCAACATTTCCCTAACCACCAGACCATAGCCTCAAGTGCTACATTTACTTGTTTTTTAAACAGTATAGTTTATGCTATAGTGGTGGTTAAGCCAATAGTGTGGGTGTTTAAAGCCACATAATGGATTTCTGGCATTTATTTTGTCAGTACACATTATATCATAGTGGCTTGGGTTAGAAGGAACATTAAAAATCATCAAGCTACAGCACCACTAACATGGGCAGGGACGACAACTACTAGACCACATTGCCCAAAGCCCCACCCAGCCTGAACGCAGCTGGTAACAGACGATCCACAACTTCCCTAGGCAACCTGTTCCAGTCTCACCATCCTCACAGCCAAGAACTTCTTCCTAACTTCTCATCTGCATCTACTCCCTTCCAGTTTGAGACTGTTACCCCTCACCCTATCACTGCAAGTCCTTGTAAAAAGGCCCTCTTCAGCTTTCTTGTAAGCCTCTCAGATATTTGAAGGTCACAATAAGGTCCTCCCCGAGTCTTCTCTTCTCCAGGCTGAATAATCCTAATGCCCTCAGCCTGCCTGTGTCGGAGAGGTGTCCCAGCCCTCTGATGATCTTGGTGGCCCTCTGGATCCACCCACACAGGTCCATGTCCTTATGTTGGGGGCTCCAGAGCTGGACACGGTACTCCAGATGGAGTCTCACAATAGCAGAGTAGAGGGGCAGAATCCCCCCCCTTGACCTGTTGGCCACACTTCTTTTGATGCAGCCCAGGATACGGTTGGCTTTCTGGGCTGCATTTGCACATTGTTGACTCTTGTAGAGATTTTTGACAATCAGCACACCCAGGTCTTTGTCCTCAGTCCTGCTCTCAAACTATACTCCTTCCAGCCTGTATTTGTGCATGAGTTACCCTGACACAGGTGCAGGATCTTGCACTTGGCCTTGTTGAACCTGATGAAGTTGGCATGGGCCCACCTCTCGAGCCTGTCACTGTCCCTCTGGATGGCCTCCCTTCCCTCCAGCGTGTTGATGACACCACACAACTTTGTGTTGTTCATGAACTTGTTGAGGGTGCACTCAATCCCATGTCCACATCACTGACAAAGGTGTTCAACAGCACTGGTCCCAGGACCAGAACCTAAGCATGGCAGCTAAGCGCTGCAGTACTTACTGCTGAAATATTTGGAAAAGAGTCAGTAGTAGCAGGGGCTAGGTTTAACCCCCTTTCCTCCTCTATCCTTCCTTTTCCATATCACCCTACCTCCACAAAAAAACATGCCTCTGATTTTAGGATCTAAAAAATACATTAAAAAGAGAAAATCTAAGTATATGCAAAGGACAATGAGCAAAGAGCAGTATTAATGGGCCTAAATCACTTTTTGGGGAAAAGGCACAGCTCTCATGCCAGAATTTGATCTTGACAGTAGAGGTACCAAAACCTAAGATGCTATAAAAAAGCTTTAAGCTATGTTCAAAAGACAGCTTGAAGGCTGCTGTGATAAAGACATTTGCTTTGTTTTATTAGGAGTAGCACAGATGCTACTCAACCCTCCAGAGCACCATTACTATCAGGAGAAAGCTGGCACATGGAAGCCTGCACTAATAGAGTCCACCCTTTCAGAAGAATATATATTAGCTTGCTTCAGCTTTCTATTAAGGCAATCAAATGATTTCAAAGTAAATTGCTGACTTACCTAAGCAAGGCCAGTTGAGTGGGCGAAGTAACAAGACTGCTGCCAGCACTTGAAGGAAAACAACCTCGAATTGCTTCTCTATTCCTGACTCTCAAATCACTGTATCATTTCAGAGTACATGCAGCTAAGTCCATGCTTGTATGCATGGCCAGTCTGCAGCTCAGGTTAAACCATTTTTTAAAAGTCAGGCGCGTCATGCTGTCCAGGCCAGAACCTGTTAACTTCTTTACAGAAGGCTATCCGATTGTTTGAAGCAGGGGGGACAACAACTCGCTAATCTGGAAAATGTAGTAAAACTAAGAGAGGGACTGCAATAAATATTGTTTGGTAGGTTTTGTTCGGTTAACTTTTGATTTACTTTTTTTTTTAATCACCTGCTTTTTTGGGATGGATAAACTGACTGGATTCAGAAGTCATGTCATCTTAAACCTTCTTTAGTACCAGACTGTGAATGCAAACGTAGGGATTTCTGTAAATCTCAGCCAGTTAGGTTTTAATGCTTTCAATCCTGACATACTGATGTCCTTCACTGGTCTTAAATAAACCATTTTTTAAGGAGACTCCCTTAGTCACACACACATTATAATAGCAGATGAGTTTTAGTTTCTCGTTTTCAAGAACATTGACTTAATCATGACAAAGAACAAGGTCCTTAGAAAGGCACTGCTCATCCTTAAATGCCACTTCTAAAGTTCAATGTAAGATAATTAACAGACTGGAAATGTCATGAAAAGATGAGATCAAGATGGTTATGTATTTCTAGGTTTTGTAAGTAACCACAGGAGTTAGATCCTATCTCAAGTGTGCTGCTGATAATTTGAAACTTTGTTATTTGCAGGTTTAGGATTTATTACCGAAGTGTCAAGATTAGGACTTAATTTCTTACTTTTTCCTCAGATTAACAATTTTATTCCATTATGACAGTCCTGAAATGCTACTGGAGTGACAATATTAAACAGACACTTTCATATACCTGAGAAACACAAATATCATCCAAAATACTAAAACCAAAAAAGCTAATTGTAGACCAAAGCATGGCCATATCAGACACAATGCGAAGAACAATAAAATTTCAGTGTTGGTCACTACTGGCAACAGACTAGATTGTAGATGGGAAAACTACACACACTGTATCCAAAATACGACAATTTCAAAATATTTTATTGAAATTCGTATACAAAATATTTTGAAGGCTATTTCTCAATTGGTTAATTCTAAATGTTCATGAAAAAGTATATAAGGTTCATTTCCAATAGTCTCCACCATACAGTTCTGTACTTTAAGAGCCTTTTGTTTTTCTAATCATTGCTTCCATCATATCCCACTGCTCTTTGGTAACCTATTAAAAGAAAGAATTGTTTTATTGGAATTCCATATAATAATTGCATGTATTTCTGTGAATGCAAAATAGCAAGCAAGAAATTTAATACCTTCTTCAAATCATTGAATTCTCCTGCCATAGAAACATATTCTCCGCCATCCATTCTAATAACCTAGAAAAAGCATAGGCAGTGTATTTAATAATAGTGGGATTTCTGTAGCATTATTTATAAACTGTGAAAGCAATTTTTATTCATTTGGATCAGAAAAAAAACATGCTTAAAATAACGTTACTCAATCACTTTGAAAAGATGTTTTTAAAGGTATTAACTATCATGCATTACAATTAAAAGGTTAATAAGGCTTGTAAAGAATTTAAAAGTAACAGGTTTTGTTTCATTTCTGAAACCAGGGCTTTAAAAAAATATCAGCAAAACTCAGACCATTATCAGGTTAATTGTACAAACAAGATCAAGCCAAACTCACTGCTCCATTAACCCAGCTTGCATAGTCACTGCAGAAATAGGCAGCAAGATTTGCAATTTCTTCTACAGTTCCCAGACGTCCGCAGGGAATCCTCTCAATCATTTTCTTCTCAAATGCACCTGTCGGGTCAAGGCGGCTAAAAGCACCCTGAGAATTAAAAGAAACATTTTGAAGTGTATTTGAAAATATTATAACTACACCAGAAATTAAAATCCAACAGAGATTTGGCTTCACCTAAACAATATGGAACTTAACATATGTGAGAAAACTGTCTACACCATCTTTGTCACTAGGATGAGGTAGAGTAAGTATAACTGAAAAGGAAAAAAAAAAAACAAATTCAGTTATATTGCAGCAATGTCTAGAACTGACAGGTGAGGTTTAGGTTGGATAGTAGGAAAAACTTTTCACCAAAAGGGTTGTCAAGCATTGCAACAGGCTGTCCAGGGAGGTGGTGGAGTCAGCACCCCTGGAGGTATTTAAAAGACATGTAAATACAGTGCTTAGTGGTAGTGTTAGGTTAATGATTGGACTCTACAATCTCAAAGGTCTTTTCCAACTGAAATGATTCCATGTTTGTTAGATTCTCTAAGTCACTGCAGGTTTTAGTATTTGAACAGCTTAGAATGGCATGAGAAATAGAAGAGGTTTTTTGTTCTTCCTACCCCCTCCACAAGGAAACAACCACCTCAGGCAAAACCAAAGATGTATTAGTAACACTTGTTAAGTTCCTGAAGTTATCAGAGTTAAATCACACCGTAATTTTTGTAATCATGGCTGTACTCACACCATTTAAGTCTTCCGTTGCCACGTTTATAAATGCCAGTTTATAAGCTTTATTGGTATTGCATTTGTGTGCTTTTCTCTTTTCCTATCATGACTTAAACCAGTGTTTTTTAGAGAAATTGATATAATCCCTAAGGCAGAAAGCCTCAATTCTGTAATAGGCTGTTTTAAGTAAAGCAGGTGTGCCTTTTTATATTCAGGGAAATTTTAACTTGGAAGCAGTATGGCAAATGTAGCACCTTATCAAGGACACACAGGATCTCAGGTGGGATATACACTATTAGTTGAAAGCAGAAACATTAATGGTAGATAGGAATATTGACATTTAAAGCAGTTAACTTGCCACAAATTTTGAGAATCTATAAATCAAAGTGATCTTGTGATGCAATATAATAGATGCCAAAACTTTATATGGATTCAAAATGGAACAGAGCAAACTAATGGAAGAAAAAAGTGCATCTAGATGATTACAATACGAAGAGATATCAACTATATCAAACTCCCTGGGCCACAGACTGCCAGAGCCTGGAGATATAAAGAAGAAATGTCATTAAATGTTTTTCTTCTGCTCCTGCCTAAAAATTCACCAGGTACAAGGCATGGAAGACTTTGGGTCTGATCTACTAATATTGTTTCAACATTCTTATAACCCTGCTGATACTGCCACTTATCTTCCTTTAGAGAGCAAAACAAGGTAAAACTGAGTTGGTCCAGTGCAGCATCTAACACTAACAAGAGCGGAAAAAAAACAAACCAGCCAAACAAAAACAACCCAGCAGCCCTGCACTCCTACCCCCAAAACAACAGCAAAATCAGATGTGAAATATTTCACATGTAGTAGTGATACCAGTATCGGCTGCTCCTGCTCATAACTGTAATATTTTGACTCAATGTGAAATGGATCCTCCTCTCTCCTCTTGTAGGACTGCTTTCTTTTTTACTTCTCTTCCAGCTGGTCTGGACAACATCCTTCAAACTCTCCAATCTTCCTTTTCATTCATATCAAAGCTTCACCTTTTCTTGCTGACTTAAGTTTTCCTCTTTCTAGTTTTGTGATTTTCAATAAAACTAGTGAGATTCTGCTCTCATATACCTAAAAGGGATTCTGAAATTTTTGAATTGACGTTTTCTTAAAAATCAGGAGTTCAGGTAGAAATAGGCACTTTTACTCCACCAAGTGTAGGAATACACTCGACAAACTTGGTACATAAAGTTGGTAAGAAACAACATTCATATTCTGATATATCATTTCTTTGAAATGCTAAAAAAAGGTTTAATTTGTATTAGTACAGTAGGGGAACCTTCAACTTATGAAACAGGCAGCGGCAGGTTTCATAAGTTCAAACACTTCAATTTTACAAAAGAATTGAGAGGCAGAGTAACCAGTATTCCAGCACAGTCCTGATGGCCAAGGCAATCATACTTGAATTTAACAGTTACAAAACAGGTTAGACTTTCTTAAAGTGAAGTGTGTACTACAAAGCATATTCAAGGCTGTCTTTCACTTCATGCTATGTACCTTTGTTTTGATTGGGCCTGGTTGAATCACATTGAATCTCATGCCATATTTACCCCATTCAGCCGCAAGAGACCTGAAAATTCATTATCAGAATGCATCAGTATTTTAAACACAGTTTTAACAACGCTATTCAGAAAAAAAAGTGTTTGAATCCAAATCAAACATGTGAATATTAGAATTCTCCTGACACAGTCATTTGTACTTAAGGGGGTTTTCGTCCTTATAAAAACATTTCAGAGAAGAAAAAAAAAATCACAAGGAGACGAATAGTTATTTCATACATGCATCATTGGTAAAAGCACATTGAGGAGCAACTTCTTCTCCCTTGCAAAGCATACAGATGATTTTGGCACCTAAACTCCTTGATAAACTACTGTTAGGTCACCATCTTTCTCTGGCAATTTAAACTATCCCACAAGTGTATGTTTCTAACGTTTTCCACATAGCTCTCACATCAGATGTTTTGAAATAACACAAAACAGAGGTTATATTCTAAAATGAGGCCATTAGAATAATTTTGTTTTAAGGCAACATTTGCTCTGCATAAGCAGTACTTCACATAGATCATCTACTGCAGTGAAAGAATTAGCTGGGTCATAAAGTCTCTGAAAATTACACATTTCAGCTACAGCTCTACAGAACAGAAATGAAATCTACCACTCATTCCCTCTTTTTCTTTTTCTGGATAAAAGTTCTAGTTGCTAAAGGGCTGCTGTTCAATTCCTTCTGCTGAAGTGCAGAGCAGGATCTGTTTGCTGTGAAAGACCATCCTATAGTTAATAATGATAGAAATCTTTTTGTTCACCCAGTAACATGGATCAAGACATGATAATGTTCTGAATTAGGTATAACTGCAGACCTTCATTTAAAATAGTGATAGGAAATGCACTTCTCAATGAAATTAGATAGATGAAGCAACATTATACTCCTCTCAAACACAAGCATATCTTTTCCTGAGACAAAACAAAGTGGAAGATACTACAGACCTTGACCAGTTCCCCCGATAACTGTCTTTAAGTGCTGATTTGCCTATAAGAATGCAAGAGAGTTTGATTACGGAAACTCTGTAACTGGAATTTTAGAACTTGCTACTGCCAAAAGAAGTAGTTCCACTTGTCTTTATCTTGCCCTAGTGATAAAATCAGCAGCTCCTTCCTGTGATAGAAATCATCACAGTAATAGCAGTGAATACTTCCTTCTGTAAGAAGCTGTCACCATAGTGTTTTCTGGCTAGGATACTGGAGGCTGGAAGGGTCTCATACAACAGAACAACAGGAGAACTACACGAACTGTCTCCATTTTTACAGACCAATTACCCTGCCTCCAGGACGTGAGAAGCAGAAACCTCATGTTGATGTTACTCACTTGCTCATTGCTTCGACACCAGCTTTGGCAGAGGCACTCGGCAACACAAATCCCGACCCACTCTCCGCATAAATTGTTGTAATAGCCAGGAATGCTGCTCCTGGAAGTGGAAAAAATATTTGAAAAAAAATCCCACACCAAACAAACAAAATATGCACAGAGATCAAACTCTGAACTTAAAGTAAATGCAACCTCAGTCACACAGAAGTCGGCAGATCAAGTGTTGGGATGTCATTTTGCCCTGGGCTGTAAAAAGGTATTTTAACAATCTGTTCTTGGAAGCTTGGCTTTCAAGCCCTTTTATTTCAGTTCCCTCTTTTCACACACGTTGAGAATTGTTCCATATAAGTGTAAATAGCTACTGATAAAGCTCCAAAGGTCTAAACCCTCAAGACGTCTACTGATAACGAACTTATATGTGCAAATCAGTCTAGCTGGAGTGAAGGCCTAAGGACTTACAGTGTCTTTGTAGAAGCTGCCCTAGCCTAGCAGTCATTCATCAGGTAATTTGCTCTAATTTCATCAAATCCTGGCTGAAAACAAACAAAAAAAAATTGTCATTAACAATTAGGTTTGGCAAAAATCTTAAAATGACACCGTTTAGGGCTTGAGCTGAAGTTTATGCAGAAAAAAGAAAATATTTCTTTTAAGAAATTTTCAGCTTTTTCTGCAGTAGACCTTATGAGGAAGTCAACTTGCATAATATTTTCCCATCATTATATACAAAAAAATGGATAAGAAGGCCACTGTCTTTTATATATTTTAGAACAGATTTAGCAAAAAAAAATATGGAAAATAATTCAATCTTTCTTTTATTGAAGCCTGCAAATTCTAATTGACTGATGAATGACTACCATGAACTTAGTGTATCTGGGAAATGGAGGCCAAGGGACAAGTTCCCTACTTACGCCACAGTAACAAAAATAACTGTTCTACTTACTGTATTTTAAAAATAATTTAATTAGAATAGCTACCCATGGGATAGATTACTGATAGAATATATGTGAAGATGAAGCAGACTTGGTTAAAAAATTAAAGTACACAAGAGAAACTGAAGAGACTAAAAACAGTGAGAGAAATGCCAGCAGATACCCAGAAATCATGGACCTCCTTTATCAAAAAAGCAGTCTACAGTGAGAGACTTTAAAAAGAAAAATCAGCACAGGCAAAAAACACAGAACAACTCTGAAGTTATCCAGAGTTGATGGTTCACTATGCATTTTGCAGAATTAAATCACAGATTTTTTAAAATACAGATTAAATAGAGGTGAGTGGAGTGAACCTACCACAGCAGCAATGATGACACATAAATTTACAGCTCTGAAGTTTGAAGTGCACTTCAGTTTACACAATTTTTACTTCTAAAGGCCTGCATTCATAAAATGAACAGTATCTAACCAATTACCTCCCCTTATTTTCTAAAACTTTAGTGCATAAATTATGCACTGGCAGACGACAAATCCCTTTTAAATACCAGTACAAACTTGCAGTCTAAAAGCAGAGCATTTTTATTATTTACTAAATTAGGTTTAATGTAGGTCACGCTGTAGACTTAAGAGGATGTGCCAGTGCTTTAGTAACTGACAGACGTGTATCACTCTCACTGACTGTTCTAAAATATTGGCACTGGGTAGCACCTCCACTTCGGAAACTGAGGACTCTGCTCAAACTTAAAAAAACAAGCAAAGAAAAAGAAAACGAAGGTGAAGAATGAGAGGACAAAGAGTTACACTTGACTTACTTGCAAAAATATGTTTTAAAGAAAGCCTTAAATAAGGAGTCTTACTTACGGATGGAATCCCCTGGAAAGAAGGCGTGCAAATAATAGCAAAAGAAATGAATGTGTTTTGGAAGCTTAGAAGCGAAAGGAAGCGAGACAACACGAAGGTGAATGACTTCTGGATTCTGCCGAATTTGAGGGTGGAAGCAAAGAAAATCGTTTTGCATTCAGCAGCAGCAGAAAGGCAGTTTTGAAGACGTATTTCACATTACTATAGGGAGTCACTGCATGCATCTGGAAGGCCATAAAGCAAACTATGAGAACAGTTTGCCATAATGATATAAGAAGTAACAATTGGGGATGGGTTTTTAATGTGGGAATACGAGCACTAGAAAGGTGGAAATGATTTTTTTCATCTGCTGCTAAAATATACGTAGGAAATACCCTGCCAACTGACCAAAACCATTACACACTTACTGAAACCACCCAAACTTTATTTTGCTATCATTAAAGGGTATAAACTCACTGAGTACCTTCTGGAGAGAAGTTCTGAAGAAATTTAGCTAATTCAAGAGTTATAAAAATACAGTGCAAATACAAAAGGATTATTTATAACAGTGTCTGTACCTATATAACAAGATTCAGAAGTAAGGGCACAGGGAAAACCATAATATACCTCACTGCTTTTAAATGCTATTTGAGATTATATCATTCTGATCAAAAAATAAGCTCAATGTTTTTCAATTCATAAGTAGAAGATAATGTAAAATGAATGCATTTATTCTTTGTATATAATCTATTATTCTTTGTATACAATCTATGATATAACATAGAAGGACATACATTATCTTTCCCTTAAAGACAATAATCTGGGTAAGCAAATCTTTGGCTAAATAGTGGATCAAAGAACTATCATATTTTTAAGGTAAAGCTCAAATATAGGATTAATCTCCTAGGTGGTCTAGAACTTAGAATTAGACCCAGGAAAATGAAAACTAAATACTGATTTCAATTTTGCAATTCTTTTCCCCATTACCACAAAGGTAATATTATCTAGTGCTATTAGTCAAATACCGCAACTTTGAATTTTAAGTGTAGGAGGAAAATTCAAAGTGATATCCTGACTCACTGTTTCTTTAAATAAATGCCATGTGTTCAGTTACTCAATGAAACAAACATAGATACATAAGATTTAAAAGAAATAGCAGCATGTTTAAAACTTATATTTAAAAAAAAAAAAAAAAAGTTTTATTACAATTAGTACAAACATTGCAAACAGATTTTAATATTCAGCCTCATGGCCTCCAAGCCAAATTTGATGTCAGACTCTACAATGAAGAAATCACTAGCCAGCTCTGCTGTGTGACACTTAAGTACAGCTTTACTGAAAATTAAGTTTCTTTCTAGTAAAGATGTAGAACGCTCAAAATCGCGTTCCTTTTCAAACTCTCAAAACTGGCTATAATAATAGTAAAGCAAGGAAATTAAGTAATATATTACGTCACAATGCTTAGCAACCATTTATCTGAAGTTTAAGATACCTTTTTGTGCTTTAATGAGCTCCTTTCCAACTTCCAGAGTTACAAAAGCAGTACCATTGAGTACAATGTCAGTTATTGTTTTCCATGCATTAGCAGAAAGTCGTTCAGAAGGGGAAATAAAGTTTCCAGCTGCGTTGTTTATCACAACCTAAAACACATGAAGGAAAAATGAAGAGTTAACTAAAAATAACTCTTCTTGAGAGAAAAGCAAAGAATTTACAAGAAATTTCTTAGCGTTTCCAGGTAGAAGGTAAAAATATCCTCATCAAATGAAAATGGGGGCAGGGCAGAGGAAGAGAAAGAGGGAGAGAAAATAATCCATTTGCAGTTTTCACATCTGCAGCACAGACATGTATCAGTTAGTAGAAAATGAGCTGTATTTCCAAACTGCTGCAACCACTAGTCTAGTACTGAGGAACTGTAAATGTAGAGGGTGACTTAAGTCGCTGTTTTCCATAGTGTCTCAAGGGCATCCTACCAAAAAAGTTTGTCCCCAGCAAGTTCCAAGGTCACGTCATACTTAATGTAATGGATGCATAGGAATAAAAGTAAAAATAGTTCAGATAACCTGATGACTAAAGTCTGGATTAGCTGACTTGTGTAACAAGATGTCTAATCAGTCATGACAAAGAGAATATTACGATTTAGTGAACTGCAAGTAACTAGTACAAAACTTTTTTTGACTATGTGTTTATCAGTCACTTGTTGCCTTTCTACAAACAGTAGCTAGGCAGAGGTTACTTTTGATATATCATCTGCTTAGCCCTTCCAGCTAGAAGGTTAGATCTATTTTTTAAGGGTACTAAGTATCAATCACATAAGCAGTCCTTAACCCAAAACTTACATAGCCAATATTTGTGTGTTTAATAATAATATAATGTGCTAAATCCATAAAATGTTGAATAACTTATGGAATAGCATCTAGATTCATGTAGGTTTGCACATAAAACCTACATGTCTTTGTCCTGAAGAACTTGCAGGCTAAATTAAGACATTAGAATTTTTAACAACAAAACACAGCACATATTGCATGAATATAAAGCAAATTATGTATAACAGATATAAATTATACATACAGACGGCAAATACAATTTAAAGGCCTCCCTGCAATTTCAAGAAAAAGAAAAAATCCAAACAGCTCAAGATACTGAGGAGGTTCCTTCAATCAGTGAATAAATACAGTGAAGACACAACAATAAAACTAATGAACTAAGGACTGCACGATACAAGCTTTGTGGTATGTAGAGATACAGGACTGTCAAAACAACCCACACAACAAAAGAATGATTGCTATCTACTTGGGAGGAACAGTCCTGGGGATGGAATGAACAACAATAACAACAACAAAAAAAACACTAGAAAGAATACGATACTGCTGTTGACATGGATCTGTGAGATCCCACCTCACCCGCATGGGCTTGCAGTGTTCATGAACCTACACGTCATACCTGTCACCAAGAAAAAATCTTGACTAAAAGAACTGAATGTTCAATTTACTCTGCAGTCTCTCTTGAACACACAGAATATATTAAACCAAAGAGAAAGGAAATGTTTGTAAAGAACAAGTCATGGGAAGGACTTACTCAGAAAATTACCAGTGTACATAAAATGTAATACATAGGAAGAATTCTCCTCCCTCTTTGCTCATGCATAAACCCCAGAGATTGTGATGTGCTTTGGCCAAAAACTGCAGTAGCTAGCAGTCAAAAGAATATCCAGAGCATCTTGTTTACAAATCAGAACAGTAAGCTGTCTTATTTTATAGCAGTGTTAGAGCATATAGCTGTGAGAAATAGTTCCTCCACTTCCTACAACATTTAGAACTCAGTAACATGGTAAAAGAACTCAAAATTCTCTTCCATGTGTATAGGATGCTACTGGAGAATGCAAAGTGTCTACAAATTCCATTAACTTTCTGGACTGATTTTCTTCCTGCCTACTATGCAGAGTATTTTGACTGGAATGCTTTCCTCTCACTAAAACACTTACATCAGGATGTCCTGCCACTTGGATTATTTCGGCAACAGCATTCTTCACTGAAACTGGATCTCTCACATCACACTGGATGGCATGAACCTGTATAATAATGGAAAAGCAGCTCTAAAACTTCAAAAACGTATCACTCACAATTTAAACAAGCCCAAAAAAGTACATAAATGCATGAAAATTCTATAGCCATTTAAAGTACAATAAATAACATATTCACAATTCTATAAAAACTTACCTTATTCCCTGTTTTAGAAGAAATTTCTTCTGCTGCTCCTTTCAAAACATCAAGCTTCCTAGAAACAGGTACACAGTGTCACTACATTTAAATTAAGTGCAATTACAATTTAGATTAATAAAACCCAGTCTTTTTTTCTGAACAAATATGAGCTAAACCTTAAAACACCATTTAATGTGTGTGTTGCTGATTTTAATGAAAATTGAGCTTTAAGATACAAGCTATATTTAGCCACTAACTTTCTGGAAGAACTATTTAAATCTAATTTAAATCTAATTTCTTTTTAATTAATTTCTGGTTAGTGCTACTTTAAAGCATCTCAGAACTGACTACATTAAGAGACTATCACTATCTTAAGCTAATCAAATATGGTAAGCTAGAAAAAGATATTTTCATTCTAAGTACAGAATCATAACAAACTTCGTTTTAGCTTACTCTATTAGTATTCTAGAAGGGATACACATACTCTGGTTTCAAACTAAATATTTAAACTATTTGGATGAATGTCACAACACTTTTGTTTATTTTGATTAAAAATGGGGCTTTGTTGTAGTCTTTACTGCAGTGTAAGAGAACTGTACAAACACCATCTTAGTTAAAGGAAAATCAGGGCTGTCTTTAAAGTCATAAGGATAAAGAGGATTCTTTACTGCAACTCACATCTGTATCAAGAACAACTGCAATAATACATTCAAAAAATTCAGCAATGGCCATTTGAATTTTGTATTCTCTTTTAGGCTTTAGCTGAATTTATGTCTAATTCTGGGTTTGCTGCTGCATTTTGTCAAAATGTGTTTATTTTCTTTCTTCCTACTGCTTGTTAGACCGTAAGACACTTGTAGATCAAACTGCAGATTTCTGGTATTTATAATATGACATTATAATCTAAAAGTGTACTGAAATAAGAGTAAATAAAATAAATTTATCCATTGTACGAATAAGGAAATAAGATCCATGGTGAGAAAGAAAACAGATCTATTCAGCACTAAGTGAAAACTCTAAAATGACTTCATTAATATTTACCGGCTTGCTATAACACACTTCGCACCTAAACTGGACAAAGTTGTCGTCATCCCTTTGCCAATCCCAGTACCTCCACCAGTTATAAAGGCCACTTTCCCTTGAAAAGTATTTGGTGGCAACATCACTTTTTGAAGAGGTGAGAAGAACGCAGCTTGCGGTGCACTGCTGTCTTGAAGCAGCACATTTGGCCCACGGCTGAAAAACTGGAAGAAACAGAAGTGGAAAGTTAGTTTTTTCACATTTCTGGACACAGGTGCTAATTTTAGACATTCCATTGCAACTAGAGAGCTATTGAAAAAAAAAAAAATTAATAACGATTTTAGTTATTTTGAAAGTTAGCTATTCTTCTGTCTGTGACTAAGGCATGTGGAAGACCATTACCACCACAGACTCTCTGCAGGATTTGTGTTTCAGGCTCATGTATATGCTGTACTTTATGTCTAAGGAGTTCAGCCCTAACAAATGCAGGTGATCTCGAGATTACATGTGTATATATTTACAAATTCAAAAGCTTCAGTAGTAGCTTCAAGGCTTTTATCCTTTAAAACCACACTCAATAAAACACTCTTCTTTACTGGCGAATGGGGTAGAATCAAACTCCATGAGACCTGTCCCCGTCACTTGACACTATCGTGCACGACATCATGGTCTCTAAATTGGAGATGTGGGTTTTACAGATGGGCCACTGAGTGGATAAGGAATTGGCCAGATGGTCACCATTAAAGAATTATCGTTAATGGCTCGATGTCCACGTGGAGTGCAGTGATGAGGGGTGTTCCTCAGGGTCTGGTACTGGGACCAGTGCTGTTTAACATATTCGTCTGTGGCATGGACAGTGGGATTGAGTGCAACTGCAGCAAGTTTGAGGACGACACCAAGCTGTGTGGTGAGATCAACACATTAGAGGGAAGGGATGCTGTCTAGAGGGACAGTGACAGGCTTGAGAGTTGGGCCCATGCCAGTTTCATCAAGTTCAACGGGGCCAAGTACAAGGTCCTGCACGTGGGTTGGAGCAGTCCCAAGCACAAATACAGCCTGGGCAGAACAGCCCTGACAAGAAAGACCTGGGGGTGCTGACTGGCAAAAAAATCAACAGGAGCCAGCAGTGTGTGAGTGCAGCCCAGAAGGCCAGCTGTGCCCTGGGCTGCATCAAAAGAAGCGTGGCCAGCAAGCCAACGGAGGGGATTCTGCCCCTCTACCCTGCTATAGTGAGACCTCACCTGGAGTACTGCATCCAGCTCTGGACTCTTCAGCACAAGGACAAGGACCCATGTGAGTGGGCCCAGAGGAGGATCATGATCAGGGGGCTGGAGCACCTCTCTTACAAGGGCAGGCTGAGAGAGTTGGGGTTTTCAATACTAGAGAGGAGAAGGCTCTCAGGAAACCTTACAGCAGCCTTCCAGTACTTAAAGAGGGCCTACAAGAAAGCTGGGCAAAAATTTTTTACAAGGGCATACAGCGACAGGACAAAGGGCAATGGTTTTAAACCAAAAGGGTAGATTTATATGAGATTTAACAAAGTTCTTGACTGTCAGGGTGGTGAGACATTAGAACAGGTTGCCCAGAGAGGCTGTGAATGCCCTCTCCCTGGAGGTGTTCAAGGCCAGCTTGGATGGGGCTTGTGGATGGTCTAGTGGAAGGTGTCCTTGCCCATGGCAGGGGGGGGGTGTAACCAGATGATCTTTCAAGTCCCTTCCAACCCAAACCATTTGATGATTCTGTGATTTTCAGTGGTAGCTGAATCACCAGTACATTCCACAGCTGTAGTGCCCAGGGATGGGGGGGTTTACAGAGCTTACAATTGGCCTGAGAAAGCATGTGTCTCAATCCTTCTGTGTGATAATACATTTGCACATGAGCAACACCAGTGAAAACAAAACAAACATGGAATTACACTGCCAATTTAATGGAGCTCATACTCCAGAGTGAAGTGATGAAACAAAAACTGAGTGATATGTACGTATGGGCACTATGTAGAACAAATTTTAAAAAGTAAAGCTCAAACTGAAGCTAGAATTATCACAAAGGTAATGCAGTTCTACATCATTTGCATTAAATGTGTATTTTAGTGATACTTTCTTGAACTTGGACTCTTCAGCTATGTGCAATGGCTTCTTGCAAAGAAAAAAATAAATCAAAGGTGGTTTGAAGGAACACAAGCAGACCACATGGAAAATCCAAAGAACGTCACAAACTTCTGAAATAACAGAATTCTAGAGATCAGGTCTGCCACGAAATGCCTGTAAAATACTGATTTTTTTTTTTCTTTTAATTCTCCCAACAAAAACAGAACTTGTATATTTTCATAGAGTGCCAGAATACTATTAAGCATTCAGGAAATGGGGATATAAAGATTCTCCCTTATGTCTTTCTTAGTTGTCCCTTACTCATCCCACCTCTCTTCAGCTATGCAAGCGGAGAAAAAGGCTCCCTCTGGAAAAACTCAGCTCATGACAGAGACTGCAAATCAAGATGGCATTTGGACTCTCTCTTCCTCTGGTTATAAGGGGGATAACCAGAGATAATCCCTACACAACCACAGATAATCCCTACACTGTGAGTCTCCCTGATCAGGTGCTTTGTTCACGAGGGGCACAGCTCACTCCTGTTGTTCAACGCTACAGAAACCGTGACAGCAGCTCTCCTCCTGCAAGCAGGAGGAGGTAACTGGCCGCAGCAGGGGCAGGCAGGAAGACTGCACCAAAACTAATAAAGTGCCAGAACAATATAAAGCAGCCAGTAATTGGTGACATTCGTCAATCTCTTCATGAGACTACTATTGTCTCACTACTAGCTTGCATGAGGGAAATCTGTGCCAAGATCCTCACATTCCACCACTTAAAGCCATTCCACCACTTAAAGCCAAGACTTTAAATTAAACCTCAGGGGTAAACAGATATAAAGAAGCCAAGAAATAGCTTTTAAAAAAATCAAAACACGAACAAACAAAAAAACCCACCCTCCCCCAAGGAGTGGAAGTGAATCATGGAATTACTGCAGAGGACGCTCTCGAAGCCCACAAGCGGGGCCTGGCAAGAGGCACCGCGCCTGGACAGCAGGCAG